ACACGCGATTGAGGTCATACTGGGTAACCAAAAAGAATGCGAAGAGATGCATTTGCTAGATCAAATGGCTTAGCTGCATTAGCTTGAACACGAATTGAATTGAATTACAAACACAAACTTTACACAATTTTGCACTAGTTGCACGAAACCAGACAAGCGAAGCTTGACCCAAATCTGTTCTCCTTTCAGAGTTATTAAGCAGAAAAAAATATAATTGAATCTTATTGGAGGTTATCCAAATTGAGCTTAGATTGATTTCGGAAATTTTGAATCTTATTTGATACTGAATATTATCTTAAACCATCCTCAATTAGTGCGTGTGTTGCTAAATTTCACTGGAATCACTTCACCTAGAAGGCAGCCAATAATTTCCTTCCAGTCTCTTATAATTCCACACAGCAAAAAATAAAGAATATTACATGGCAGGTAAACCAAAACCATTTTAAAATAACATCGCTTTAAACTGTATTTTAATTTAATTTTACTTTAAAAATCATGCACATAATAAAAACATGATAAAACTCATAAAATTATACGTTTATTCGATTAATTTTCTCTTTCAGTGTAATATCACACCGTGATGTAAGAACTTATCGAAGAACATCGGATTTTCAGCGATAAAATCTATAAATTTACATGCTCGTGAAAATTTAAATCAACAAACATTAAGAAAGCTAATATGCCGGACGGGCCGATTATTCGATCAGTTTTTTCTCCGCTCGGTTGGTTTTGTTTTTTGCGCTTAGTTTTGGTTATGTGGAACGATTTAACGTGCATACGCGCGTCCACAAATAGAAAATGGATGACAGACAAAATATTGATTAAAGCGGTTTTATACAGAGAGCACTTTTAGTTCGTGCAAAATATCAAAAATATGGGTATGCCCTCCCCATGGACATGGAGGTTGACGGTACTGAAGCAAAGGGTTATGTTTAATTTCTTTATATTTGCAACGATGATGATTTCCTATAGTGACACATATCACCTTCTTAATGCTTCAGTATACCTCAAACGATTAATTCTTGGTTGTTAATAGAACTTCCTTGATGCAATCGGCTGCATTATGCAGACTGAGCAATTCTGATTATAGTATCAGATTTGTTCTGTATACAGAGGAACTGGGAGGGCTTATTAAAAACTTCTCACCAATAAAGTAATGATCTTCTTGTAAATTTTGCATATAATTTTATTAATATTTTATTTTATTTAAGCATATTATTTTTGTTACAGTCAATTTGCATTAGCATATGATACAAGAGATTTAATATTACTTGCTCGTTTTCGCGTAAAATAATCAATATTTATCTTACTTGTAATTACCTTTGAAAGTTTTTTTTTTGTGATCTGAAAATTTACCCAGTTTGGTTAGAAGTTTCGAAGCTAACGCATGTCCACAGGCCTAATAGAAAGATAGGCAGAACAAGTGTATCATTAAGAATGGTTGCATGCAGGGTTGCTTCCACTCACTTGCTATAGATGAGTGATTTTCGGAGTTTTGAATTCGTTAGATGTTGTAATGGAGATTTGTGCTGTTGGATGCGGGTGGAGATTGGAGGGCGGGTGTTTGACGCATAGAGCCTGCCAATTTCGCTTTCAGAGTGTCGCAGTCAGCGGTTTTATGATTCGTGAGCGCTCGCGATTCGTAGAATCGTTGATTGTGACTGCAAGTGGATTTGACGGGTTTTGTGTGTCGGACGCTTGCTTTTTGGCCTCTTCTTGTGTCTAACATGTGCAGAGTATGATTATAACGTCTAATGGTTTTGAGATTCCTGGTGGCGTGAAATATATTTGTGAGAATATCTTTATGAGATTTTAGCAGTCACGTTTTGTTTGTAGTTTATATTTTATTTATTTCATGTAAATATCGTAAATAATAGTTATTCAAAGCGCTGTGGATTATAAGATGCTCGATGACCCTCGATGGATCGATTTTGCTTACTGAGCAGAAAATCATGGATTTAACCCCAAGCTCTTCCACAGCACAACACAGCAAAAAAATAGTTTTGATATCACATCAGAGTGGATGCACTACAATCATGTCGAAAATTTCATGTGATTTTTATGACCACATAAATAAACAAATGCAGTAAAAGCAGCGTAATGTCAGTTCATGCATTGTATTAATGATAATTTTGTCCTTTTTAGCAAGTAATATTACACCATATTTTCGACATGATTGTAGTGCATCCACTTTGACGTGATATCAAAATTATTTTTTTGCTGTGAATAAATCGCCACCATAATTTGTATATTTGATATTGAACATTAACCTCGGAAACTATTTGCATATCAAGCGAAAACGTAGTCCTGTATTGTCGCGAAGCGTTATGGTTCTGAGATGCTCGATGACCCTGGAGGGATCGTTTTTGTTTACTGAGCAGAAAATCATGGGTTTAATCCCAAGCTCTCCATCATGACTCTTAAAATTCATTATCACTAAACAAAATTAATATGTTCTTGCGATAGCCGGCTATCGAGAGATTAAATAAACAACAAATAAACAATACATACTTTTGGTTGCATCGCCAACTTGAGGTGAATCCTAACCCAATACCCTACCCAACCCTCCAACTCCGTAGCACTTATGAGGGTGTCGCTAAGTCGGTGGCCTCTCGTTAAGTAAGTACTACATCAACATTTCCTTCCCTATCCCTAGTTATGGTAAAGATGGGCGTGGCCGGGAATAGCGACAGTCATGCTTCTGTTACTCTTGTTTAGATTGGAACCAATGTTTACTCCTCAGCATTATTCCTGAAAGTAGTCTAACTGAGAATTTCAGAAGAGACGTGAGTGTCGCTAGTATCCAATCTACGAAGTATATCATAACAACGCTAACGCTAACGCTAATATCAAAAATATGGGTATGGAAAAATAGAAAAACATTCAAAACTGCGCTCGTGGTTCCTTTTTTCTCCTGACTGATCGTTTTGATGTAGCGGTGGAAGTGTAGGGTATGTATTGTGCCGTGAAGGTAGGTTATTCCACGTGGGTGATAATTCCGGGTACTTGACAATCAGTTCGATTTTATCCCAACAACCTTATTACAGTAAAGAGTAGCAATAGAATTTATCTATGCCACGCCCCAACAACCACACAGCTCTCCAGAGCTGTAATCTTGTAACTTGTAACTTGGAAGCAGGGTTGCAAGTGATTTTGATCGATTCTCTCATGAACTTTCTCTTTAAAAAAAAAATACTACAAATTTGGCACGCCTACAATTCAAAAACGGAAAGAGCTAAGATAATAGAGAACGATCAATTAACAGAATTAAATGCGCTTCACATTTGTTCCGTACACTAGCGGTTCTACGTCAAGCTTCCGTTCGTGCCCCTAGGCACAGACCCTTCTACTTTTTACATTTGAATTGCTTGATCTTTATAATTTATATTAATAAATGACCAGCAAGCCTTGACTTAAGGCTGTTGGTGGTCATTCCCACATAACATCCATGACAGTTTTGACACTGGGACTGGATCATTAGAGGTGAGATATCGCCGTTTGGTGTTTTTCAGACTACGTTCAGTAACTTTGATGGAAGGGTTATTGTAATGGAGATCTGTTTTGATCGCTGGTGATATTGTGTGATGTATACCTACCCGACCAGAAGGAAGTAATAGAAATAAAGCACACTGTGTTTTTGAGATATAAAATTATTCGTAGCATAGTCTGTTATAAAACATGCACCGTTAGTAGTTAAAATAACAAAAAATGTAACAAGAAATCTTCTACGTACTATCAAGAATATAACAACTATTGTTAGGGTTATATCATATTTCTAACGCACCTTGTTACAAAATAACCCATTAGGGTAAAAACTAAAAAGGGTATGAACTGGACTTTTTAACACGGTTTTTGGGTAACAAATTTTCTGAGTGTTTTCTATTTTTAGATTGTTGTTAAAATATTAAAAAATCAAGATCACCACCCCCCCCAATCCACTCTCCCTCATTTTAGCCTGCTTTACAAACACAAAAAGCATCTATATAGCTGCCACAGGGATTCGAACCCAAACGTTTTACAATTATGGCTTGTGGGAAATCTGGAGCCTTTACCATCTAGTCTAAATCTACTGTTGAAGAATAAGTAGATGCAAGCTAACCTTTTGTGTATGCCTTCTTTGTTCGCATGCGCCGGCAACTGAGTTAAAAATAAATCGGGTGTTCCCAACACCACTCACTCTCTGCACTCTTGCTGCACTGACGTAAACGGAGGCTGGCTAAATATATGTGTAACAAAGTTTGTTATAATTCTCAGTATAGTAGAATAAGCATTAAACTTAGCTATATGAAAGTAATTAATTTAAGTATATGTAACAAAACAAAAATAAGATGAAAGCGAGTCATTGATTGCATATGCACTATTTGAATTCTAATGATGATTTTATTCTAACCATGATGATCTGATTCTAACCATGATGATTTTTCATTCCTCGTTTCACCACAGAGCTCTTAAAACAAGATTATATCAACGGTTGTTATGTATAACAGAAGTTGATATAATCATGATAAAATTTTGTTATAACGTTCTGGTCGGGTAGGCTGACATTAGGGACATTAACCCTATTAGCCCAATTCCATGTGAAAAACTTTTCCTTAGCCCTTAAATAAATTTAAGTTATACTCCCGGCTCAAGACAAAAACAAAACAAAAATAAAAATAAAAAACCGTTTCACTTTTCGTGCTACTAAATGCTAACAAACTTAGTAAATATGTTGTTTTAAATTTTATTCTAACAAATTGTGTAACAATTTTATATCAAATACCATGATGATTTCTTATTCCTCCTTTCACCACAGAGCTCTTAAAACAAGGTTATATCAACGGTTGTTATGTTGCCAATGTTGACCAAATGTTGCTACTTCACAACCTGTTTGACATCCGCTAGTATGATTTCATGTTATGATTGTCATTGCTAAATTGCGCACCGGCGAGGATGGTCTAAGAATATATCAATAATGATGATTTCTAATATAAAACTTATTTTATCTTGATTCATTTCAGTACCTCCCAGCGTAAGAGTGATACCACCCAGTGGGCAGTTGACGGCCCGCAAAGGCGGTGTGGTTACACTAGAATGCAAAGCTTCCGGAAATCCAGTGCCGTCCATTTACTGGGCTAAACGGGTAAGTTACATCTATTGATCATAATCTCCTATTTGCTTCCCATTGTTCTGTGACCCGTTTCGATCCAACGTCCTCCATAATTTTTCCAATTGTTCAAAGTTGTGCCAACTACCTCAGTTCGGTGCTGCCTATCTTCAGTTACTTGAGCGTCCAGAATGTCCTAGATGTAGTTCCACATGATATAGCCACGAAACATACGGTGTTTTGTGGAGCCTCACATAGTTCATTTGGAAAAGGTGCAGCTAAAAATCAAGACCATGCTGGAGGCGGCTATGGGGTTGACTCCCGGTCCGGTCTAGAAATTTTTCAGGTTGAAAAATCTCTCGACTTCCCTGGTCATTGAGTATCATTGTAGTTACCACACAATAATACTAATGCAAAAATCGTGCAGGCTTAGAGAATTCTCCATTACAACTGTGGAAGTGAACACTAAGTTGACGTATAGTCCCATTGGGGACGTAATAATTCCAAGAAAAATAACCATCCGGATTAGAGGCAATTACATTTTTTTTTTCGGGATTGCAGTCCAGTGACCCTTCAAAATGTTGTACGAAAGATTGTCACCGCATTGGAAGGAGTTCAAAACCTCTCAATAACGATCCATGTAGCTTAAGTAAAACTGTGCTGGAACTTCATAAATATAACGTAGGACATGTTCTTGGAAGTGTTGAAATCGATGAATCTGAGGCCGTTGTCGTTCGTAAGCTGAACTTTCCAATAACTGGTCTTAATTTCTCCTCCTGATCAAGCGAAGCATTGAACATCTCGGAAAACGATTTTCACACCATAACTTGGGATGATCGTTGCATCCTAGGCTATGCACGATGATTATGATTGAAGAAACGGCATCTGATTGTCAATTTTCCACCACGCAATCCCCTAATTACCCAGTCAGTGGAATAAATTGCAGATTAATTCGGTTCAATTTGTTACATCATTATTTTCTGTCTATTTTCCAGGGTAGTCCCGCAAAAGTCGCTACCAAAATTGGGGAAGGTCCCATCCTGACTTTGGAACGAGTAGAGCGACAAGCGGCGGGCGTGTATCAGTGCACGGCAGATAACAATGTTGGTGATCCGGTGACAGTGGATATGCGGCTCGACGTGCTGTGTAAGTATTGTTATTGTTATTGAGAATCTTATTAATTTCCTCAACTCCTCAGTATGTGAATTGTTTTAATTCCGATTTGATTGATGACAGGACAGAATGAGACTACAAACCAAAACGTTCATTATATTTGGTTTGGGTTCTACATTTTTTTAGGGGCCAACAATTTCCTTATATTATTTGTAATGAACAAGCCGTCAAAATTTACCCAAAACTATAAAATTTCCATGATAAATAAAGTGATATTTAGAGTACTTTCCCTAATTACATTGATTTTCAGGACACTTCCTATTCATTTGATGATGTTTTAGGTCAAAATAAAGCAAGAAAACCATGCGAGGTAAGGTTGGCTAGTGGAATTAACGTTGATGTCGTGATTGTCTAAGAAGTTGCATGAGAAAGAAAATTTATTTATTGAAAAAAGATCTAAGAAGTTGATGTCTTCGGAAAATTTGTTCAGGTGATTGAACCCTTCTGAATGGGAGAGAGATTAGTTCACAACATTATCACTATAATTGCATGTCATCAGGAAAACCACAGACAAACAGACGTAACTCTTCATTGTGTATCTTCGTTCATGCATTTAACGGTTGATTTGAATATTATCAGTTCCGCGAACTACTCGCCGCAGCGCTGGCATCGGATCACTTTGACGTTTCTATACATTGTATAGAACTTTTATGCAACATTGTTTGCGAGCTAGCGGGCAAGCTTGTTTTCCGCGAGAAGCCCGAGAGATGTCGTTACTGAGGTCATATGTTTTGAGATACTATTTATGTTTTCAAGAAAAACTTTTTCAAAGAGTTACATCTGTTTGTCTGTGGGAAAACCTTAGTCGGTCAGGTGACTTTGCCAAAGACGGCAACTTTTTAGATGGTCAGGCTTTCGAAGTGTAGCACATACTGAATGTTCACATTCATACTTGCGCCGGGTAGTGAGAAAATTGTGAACTACACAGCAAAAAATAAATTTTAATATTACATCCAAGAGAATGCCCTTCAATAATATCAAAAATCTCATATAATTTTTATGACCACAAAAATAAACAAATGTAGTAAAAGCAGCGTAATGTCAGGTCAGGCACTGCATTAATGATAATTTTGTCCTTTTAGGCAAGTAATATTACACCATATTTTTGAAACGATTGAAGTGCATCCACTCCATCAAAAAAGCGCTGACCAGTTGACCAAGTTTGCCGAAACAGCATCTTCCTAGATGGTCAGGATATCAAGATAAAGCTTATAGTATATAGGAAGTTCACATGTACACTAGTGCCGCGTAGTAAGAAAATTCAAAATTTACCTTATCACCGTCACCATTGAACGTTTCATGGATTTAGCACTTTGACGAATATTGGACCTTCCAGTGAATTCATTCACATCTCATGTTTTGTTTTTAATGAAATGTTTTCGAAAAAGTATAATGTATTTCAGAAACTAAATATTGTTATTTACTACATTCAGTTCCAACTTTGATCCAACCACATGGAAAAGTGGCCGTCTACCTCGTTACAAGTCAAGCTGTATCAACGTCCATAGTACCTAATAATTTGAAAACAATTTTCTATTTTTCTCTGTTCATCGAACAGACTTGCGTTTTCCTTATAGTAAAGTTACATTTACATGATAAATGATAGAATAAAGGGTGTCCACGATGAAATTGCCACACACAAAATTGATTCGCAAAATTCGAGTTTTCATCCGATTGTCATCAAATTTTCAGGGATTGAGAAATAACTATTAAACTTCATTTTACCATTTTACTCGTATTTTATTTACAGTCCATACGCAAATGCCCGCACCTTGGTCTTAACCCCGGCCATAAGATTCTGCACAACCTGTGAATCAACCGTTTTTTGCATGTAAACCCATACTTTTTTCAGTTCCTCGACTGTCTTCACTACCTTAGGTCGTTTAAGAAGGTGCTGCTTCATAATCGCCCAGTACTTCTCGATGGGGCGGAGCTCCGGAGTGTTGGGAGGGTTGAACATTTTCGGCACGAAATTGACCTTATTGTCCGCATACCACTTCAGCACGTCCTTGGAGTAGTGGCATGAGGCCAAATCCGGCCAGAAGATTGTTGGGACGTTGTGGGCCTTCAGGAGAGGAAGCAGCCGCTTCTGGAGGCACTCTTTTATGTACACCTGTCCGTTCATCGTGTCCTGGGTCACGAAAGGTGCACTCCGCTTCCCGCACGTGCAGATGGCTTGCCAAACCAGGAATTTCTTCGCAAATTTGGACATCTTTTGAGTGCGGACATGCTCCGGAACGCTGAACTTATCCTTGGCCGTGAAAAACAGGTTGCCGGGGATCTGTTTGAAGTCGGCCTTCACATATGTTTCGTCGTCCATGATGCAGCATTCAACTTTTGTCAGCATGTTGAGGTACAACTTCCTGGCACGGGTTTTGGCGGACTTGTTCTGCTTCTCGTCGCGATTAGGGGCCTTTTGTACCTTGAACGTTCGAAGCCCAGCCTTAGTTTTGGCCTTCTGGACAAAACTTCGGCTTAGGTGCAGCTTCTTAGCCACATCCCTAATGGAGGCGTTCGGATTTCGGTTGAAGGCCCCAACTACGCGGTTGTGATTTTTGGTGTTGTACGGAATACTTTTTCCTTCACTTCTGGGCTTCCGATCGGTGGTCAACCGTTCCTCGAACCGCTTAATCACTCGCGACACCGTGGAATTCGCGATTCCCAACGTTTTAGCGATGGAACGATGCGAGAGATCCTTGTTCTCGTGATGAATGCGCAAGATTTTATCACGCACGAGCTGTTCTTTCGACTCCATTTCCGCGAGTTTTGATCACAGGACTTTAAAACTTGCAGGATGTAAATAATGCACTATGAACTAAATCCACCCAAATTTTCATTAAATTCTACCCAACGGTTAAAAAGTTAGAGCAATTTCATAGTGTGGCAATTTCATCGTGGACACCCTTTAACTCTAAAACATTCAATTCCATGAACACAAAATAACAAGTTTCGGCCACCACTATACACAATGTTCGTTAATGTTGTTCATTTTGACGATTCACCTGTTATCAAGATTAAATGTGTTTAATATCATCAAATATATTATAACAAAGAAGTCAATATCATTTATTTACTTCAATAATCCGAAGGGAGACCTACTTAGTACAGGCGGCTGTCTTCCCCTGTCGTAACCTATAAGGATAATATGTTTGGAGTGCATAAATAATACATTGTTTCATCACAGTAGACGTAACACTTAAATGGAACTCAATTTAATTGAGATTGGAATGCGAATAAATAGTACATTAGTATTTTTTAAATATATTTATTAAGGAGACTTTCAGCCCTGGGCTGGATCGTCTTCGTGTCCATTAGTACATAATAAGCTAGAAATCAAGAGTAAAACAAATTCATAGAATTATCTTGATTAAGCTGCTATACAACCAAAACCAATCATACTAAGGTTATAAACTGAGTTTCTTATGGAAAATGCTTTTTCATTCCTGAAACTTGCAAAACAACACGGCGAATGAGAACAACCCAAATTTGAGTTTAGTTCACTCATAATCGCCAAAAGTGCAAAGTAGTTATTATGATTGAAGTGAATTTCAATCATCAATAACTAGAGGGCACACCATTATGGACATGCATAATTAGTTTTCCAATGATGTTTTAACGTAAACATCAGCTATCGAGCACGAATGCTCTTTCAATTTCCAACTCTCGAACTTTCATACAATCAGCATTTTCACTGACAGTTGAATTCAATAGACCTCCTGTCTGGAGCTTTCACGGCAAATGAGAACGACCCAGATTTGAGTTTAGTTCACTCATAATCGCCAAAAGTGCAGGAACTCAGCGATGAGTAAAATTTATCTCATGGTTTCCTGTGGAAAACCTAAAAAATCTGCCGGAAAATGAGGAAATTGACGAAAATTTTATTCATTCTCGGAGTAGTACCAATAGACTGAGTGAATCCAATCTTTACTTTTCTCAAATTCGGGAATTTTTCCCTGGAAAATCCTGGAAAAACCTGGGAAAACATGAGGCAAATTTACTCATCGCTGAGTTCCTGCACATTTGGCGATTATGAGGGAACTAAACTCAAATCTGGGTCGTTCTCATTTGCCGTGAAAGCTCCGGACAGGAGGTCAATTGAATTCAACTGCCAGCGAAAATGCTGATTGTATGAAAGTTCGAGAGTTGGAAATTGAAAGAACATTCGTGCTCGATAGCTGATGTTTACGTTAAAACATCATTGGAAAACTAATTATGCATGTCCATAATGGTGTGCCCTCTGGTTATTGATGATTGAAATTCACTTCAATCATAATAACTACTTTGCGCCCACTCGGAAAAACGTACGGTCGTACGTATCAATGGAAACTTTTGGTTTTGTTTTCAAGATAATCCTATTAGGTCGGAAATGTTTTTTTTTTTTTTTTTTTTTTTTTTGTACACCTGGCCAGGCATGGAAATTTATTTGCATTCATTTCGTGCATTCATTTACATTCATTTGCCTTTAACTTTTTTCTTGAGCAGCATTCCGCAAATTGATGTATAGAACTTTTGTAGCTTTTGTTAACAAGTCAAATTCGTATCTCTTATGCACGACGAACCAGAGCGAACAGAAGACACTACTGTTTTTCAGTGAATGTATTTTACATTCACTGAAAAACAGTAACAAGTTCTGCCCGCTCTAGTTCGTGATGCATGAGAGATACAGATTTCATTTATAAGTAAAAGTTGTAGCTAATAAGAAAACCTACAAAAGCTCTATACATCAATTTGCGGAAAGCTGTTGATGAAAAAAGTTAGAGGCAAATGAATGTAAATGAATGTATGAAATTAATGCAAATGATTTTCCATGCCTGCACCTGGCAGAAGGCAAATCATTTATATAATGAATCATAATAATAATAATAATAAAGCTCATTATTCTACAAGCTTGGCAGAATAAACCCTTATGGAACTCTCAATTTTACCTGGTTTATTGTTTTGCTTCAATCATCTGTTGAATTTTCGTCAAAGGG